ACGGTGAGCCCCACGGATCAGCACTGGAATCGGCCTCCAATTACAAGCCCGGGGGGCGGGGGAAGTGAAGAAAAAGGAATTGCATCCGCTGTAACGTGAGACGATTGGAAGAAATAAGCGCAAGTTAGGGGTCGCGACTAATAGGGGACAGGCAGGTTCCAGAGCCCAAAGGGAAGGGCTCTGCCAGGGGCTCACTGAGCTCCAAAGGACGCAGAGAAACCACTATCGTTTGCATCTGCTCCGACCACACGCCCTTGACTGGGAACTGGCCTTGGCTCTGCAAGGCTAGGCCTGAAACACTCGGGTGCGAGCCCAGGCTTTTTTCCCCCCACGGGATTGAAGGAGGCCAACTGGCTGTGGAAGGGAGTCCTGGGGAGAGGGGAAGGGAGCAGGGTGCCTGTGTTTTCTGACATTTGGTGCAAAATGCCATTCGGTAATTGCCCTCATTAGGACAAAAACTCTTTCAAACTAATGGGGTTAGGTCTGTGGGGGTCCATGGGCGGGGGTTGGGAGGGGGGGTGTAGGGGGGACACAGGGACTGGGAGAATATTAATGTCCCTGACTTTATAAAGGATCAGGCTGGGCATAAGTAAATTAGCTTAAGCTCTGAGGAGTACTTGACAGGGCTCCACTTTGGGAGAAGTTTGAATAGGTGAAGGCATGTCGGAGTGGAGTTGTGGAATTTTCTGTTTTCTTTTGTTGTGTGACATTTGTTAGTATGCCTGTGAGAATAGATTTTTTAACATTTATATTGTATTTCTCGGTAATAATTGCACAGAACATTACCCAAGTAGAGGGATAGTGTTATATTGAAAGTATAAAACAAGCTGGTGTCAAAACTACAGCAAAATATGATACTAAATATTTAGTAGCTTTGTTTTTACTTCATAAGCGTGATCAAGAATTTGAGCTCATGAATTCAAACATATACAATGTCCACATGAAAGATGACAAAAAATGTTCAAGAGCAAAATATATCTTTTGAAATATATTGTTTTGCAGGATAAAGAAATAATTGAAAGTATATCATATGCCCAAATCATAAGTTTTGAAAGAAAGGAGAATTGTTAAAACATTTGCACGTCTTTCTAAAATTCCTGATCTGATACCGTTTCAAGTTAGGGGATGACAAATTCACTATTTTTGTACCAATTCCATTTTTAGTTGCTCCTTAGTTACATCTCTTTGCAGTAATTTCTTTTTACTGTTTTTTCTTACATTACTACAGTTGGCTTAGAGTTAATATTGTACCTTGTCATATAAATTTGCAAAAGCACTTTTTGGCTCTTCAATCCTATGTACCATTGCCATTGCTATGTGTTACATGCACACAAATTATAAGCTATATAATAAAATACAATATTTTGCTAAAGCAGTCAGTTGTCTTACTGATATGAAGAGAAGAAAAATAGATTTTTTACATTTGCCCAAATATATACAATTATATGGGCTTTTTATTTTTTCTTGTAGATAAAGTTTTATCCATTATCAATTCCCTTGAGGTTTAGAGAATTTCCTTTAATATATTTTGTACTGTATTTTAGCTGGAAATAAATTCTCTCAGCTTTTTTTTAAATCTGAAAATACTTTTTATTTTGTATGAATTTTTAAAATGGTGTCTTCATTAGGTAAAGAATTTTGGGTGGACAGATTTTTCTTTTTCACCATAAGTTTTGACTTCTATTTTTATCTATGGAATTCATAATACTGGTTTTAAGATTAACTTTTTTGTAACATGTCCCTGTTATTCCCCCATTGACCACCTCCAGCCCACCCCCACACCCGGAGCCGGCCTCTGCACCTTATTTTCTGTGTCCATGGGTTATGCACATATGCATACAAAGTCTTTGGCTGATTACCTCCCACCCACCCATGCTTCCCCCGCTTCCCTCCAAGATTCTGAACTCTGTTCCATGCTTCCATGTCTCTGGATCCATTCCATTCATCAGTTTATTTGGTTAATTAGACTCCACATATGAATGAGATCATGTGATGCTTATCTCTGTCTTACTGACTTATTTCACTTAGCATGATACTCTCCAGGACCCTCCATGCTGTCTCAAAGGATAAGATTCCTTTTTTAACTGCTGCATAGTATTCCATGGTAAAATGTACCACAATTTTCTTATCTGCTTATCTACTGATGG